TTTTTTTTTTTTTTTAAAGTATCCTGTTGGGGTAAAATATATATCTTGCCATTTAAGTGTATAATTCAGTGGCATTAATTATATTCTCAGTGTTATGTAACCATCACCACCATTTATTTCCAAAATTTTTCTATCACTCCAAATAAAAACTCTGTAATATCATTATAAGTAGTAACTCTCTTGTTGTCTTTCTACTCCAGAGGACTTCTTTACAAGTATGTCAAATGTACAGTAACTCCTTAGCATCTTCCCTTTTAGACGACTTTGCTCCCTATTTCTCCCAAAATAGAGACAAAACTTGTAAATGTTCTCAGCATGATATCTACCAGTATGTCTGTATCTTTTCTCATCTGCTCTACTATTCCTGTTGTGATATGAACTGTTCATGTGGGTTGACCTTTTTTTTGAGACAGAGCCTCAAGCTGTCCCCCTGGGTAGAGTGCTGTGGCATCACAGCTCCCAGCAACCTCCAACTCCTGGGCTCAAGCAAGTCTCCTACCCCAGCCTCCCAAGTGACTGGGACCACAGGTGCCCACCACAATGCCCGACTATTTTTTGGGTGTAGCCATCATTGTTGTTTGACGGGCCCTGGCTGGATTCGAACCTACCACTTTAGATGTATGTGGCTGGTGCCTTAGCCACTTGAGCCACAGGCAAGATTCAGATTAGAATACAGATGTTTAAATGTTGTAAATAAATGATATTTTTCCTGCTTACAATAGTTATTTCTTTTTTTGTTGTTGTTTGAGATAGAGTCTCAAGATGTTGCCCTGGGGTAAAGTGCCGTGGTGTCACAGCACACAGCAACCTCAAACTCTTGGGCTTAAATGATTCTCTTCCCTCAGCCTCCCAAGTAGCTGAGACTACAGGTACCCACCACAACACCCAGCTATTTTGTTGTTGTTGCAGTTGTCATTGTTTAGCTGCCCTGGGCTGGGTTCAAACCTACCAGCCACGATATACATAGCCAGCGCCCTACCCACTGAGCTATGGGCACCGTCCTATAATAGTTATTTCTTAATTGTACCTGTCTGCTATACCCCCATAGCATCTAGGGATGCTTGGTCTCATACATGTTGATAAAGTTAAATATTGACCTCCTGGATGATTCTTGAATTAAGATTTGTTAAATTGTGACATGGTAACATGGACCAGAAGGAAAGGGATGATATGAGGGGAATTCCCATCAGGATTTAGCCATGTTCTGATCACTACCGACTTGGATTGATATGCAACAAATGTCCTTGGTTATAAACCGTGATCTCCTATATAAACTCTATTTTTCCAGAGAGGGTCAATCTGGTAGGAAGGTTGTGGCTATAAACTTTGTTAATGAAGAAGACAAGTGGACTCTTTGTGATATTGAGACTTTTTTTTTTTAAATTATAGTGTTTAAGACTAGGCGCCTATAGCTCAGTGGTTAGGGTGCCAGCCACATACACTCAGGCTGGTGGATTTGAACCCAGCTCCGGCCTGCTAGATGGCAGTGACAACTATAACAAAAAAATAGCCAGGCACTTGTAGTCCAGCAACTTGGGAGGCTGAGGCAAAAGAATCCCTTAAGCCCAAGAGTTTGAGTTAGCTGTGAACTATGACTCTACTGAGGGTGACATAGTGAGACTCTGTCTCAAAAAAAAAAAAAATGAAATTACAGCATTTTAATTTTTAATTTATT